CCAGACCCAGACCCAGACCCAGACCCAGACCCAGACCCAGACCCAGAACCTCAGGCATCAGCATCAGATCCAGAAACTCCACGTTCCCAAGCATCCGGATCCGTTCGATGGGAATTCCGATAGTCCCGGGCTCCAAATGTTCGCCTCCTCCTTCTCGCCTCGCTCCTCCCCGCTGTCCCAGGGTTTCCCCTCCAAGATGGCGCCCGCGATATCCGTCCCCCCCGCCCTGCTCCAGGCGGGCCACGCCCTCTTCGCCCCCCCCCCGGGCCTGGGCCCCCCGGGCCCCCAGGGCTCCGTTCCGGCCCTGCTGGTCCCCGTGAGGCTCCAGACCCTGGTGCCCTCCTTCGGGAGCCCCACCTACACCAGCGGGAGCCAGCAGCCAACCCTGCAGGCTCTGGGCGCCGACGCCACGGACGACCCTAACCCTAACCCCAACCCCAACCCCAACCCTAACCCTAACCCTAACCCAAGGGGCGGCATGAACGGGACGGGGTTCAACCTGTCGCTCCTTTTGGGTCGAACTGACGTGTCCCTGTTCTGCGGCCGGACGTGGAGGGGCATGGACGCGGTCGTTTCCACGGAAACGGCGGCGGGGAGCGTCGTCTCCACGGAAACGGCGGCGGCCGTGGCGGCGGGCGGCAAGCGAATGCTGTCTCCGGCCAGCTCGCTGGAGCTCTTCATCCAGACCAAGACCCAGAAGCGGGTGAAGGAGGAGAGGATGTACGGACAGATCCTGAAGGAGATGAGCGCCGTGGAGCTGAGCGGGGCGGAGTCAGCGGAACGCCGGCGGGGGGGCGGGGGGGGGAAGGGCGAGGGCGAGAACATGTCCTCCTCACCGCCACCAAGCGATTTCCACGCCACCTCCAAGATGGCGATCCCCGTCCGATGCTCGGGCCCTCCACACCTGTCGGACGTGGCCCCGCCCGAGAGCTTCACCCCCCCACTGCAGATCGTCACGGGGGGCCGGGACTCCCCCGAGGAGCTGGACGTGGACCAGTCCGCGCCGGGGGGGGGCGGAGCCTGCTCCAGCCCCGAGCCAATGCTGTCGGCCGACGACGAGGAGGACGCCACTGGGGGTCGGAGCCTAATCCCCGGTACCAGGGGGCGGAGCCTAATCCCGAGCCCCGAGCCCATGCTATCGGTCGACGACGAGAAGGACGCCGGGGGGCGGAGTCTAATTAGTGGTAACCAGGCTGCCGGGGGGCGGAGCCTAATCCCTGGTGCCGGGGGGCGGAGCCTAATCCCGACCGGGGGGCGGAGCCTAATCCCCGGTGCTGGGGGGCGGAGCCTAATCCCGAGCCCCGAGCCCATGCTATCGGCCAACGACGACGAGGAGGACGCCACCACTGGGGGTCGGAGCATAATTAGTGGTAACCAGGCCGACGGGGGGCGGAGCCTAATCCCCGTCGCCGGGGGGCGGAGCCTAATCGCGGAGGCCCTCCGGTTCCCCACCCTCCGCACGGCCAGCCGGGTCAGCTGGTGCTTCCGGGGCCACGCCCGGCCCAGTTCCTCGCCGGCCGCCCCGCGGGGATCCGTGTACGCCGTTTGGACCTTGAGCCAAAACCAAAACCAAAACCAAAACCAGAACCAGAACCAAAACCACGACCCGAACCCGAACCTAAACCCGCTGAACCTCAGCACCAGGGCCGCGCTCGCCCTGCTGCGCTCCCGCCAGCCGACCGACGCCCGGGTCCACTACACCGCCGCCGCCATGGCGCCGCACAGCTCCGGGAAGCTAGTGTCCTCCGTGGCCTGGAAGCTGCGTTTCGACCAGGTAAAATGTGTTTTACATATAGGGGATCACATATTAACTCATTGACTGGCAGCCATTTTCAGAACAGAGAGTCCCATACTGCTAGAGTTTTTTGAGCATTTTGACTGATTTTTCAAGAGCCACAGAATAGTTTGTGCTATGACTATGTAAACACCGAACACACCAAAAGAAAGAGTAGACTCTCTTCTTTCATCAGGAAAAAAAATGTGTTTCTACCTTATTCCGTTCTTCCTGGACTTGCGTCTCACCGGCGACATGTTCTCTCATAGAACCGTTAGCTTTTTCTTATTTGCCTACAGTCTATGCTCATCTCCCATCAAAAGTGGCACTGCCCCCTAGAGGGTCAATTTGTTACTACATACTCTGTCTAGAAGCCGATATTTACGGACAAGCTTTAGCAGATCGTCCCCCAGACACTTGCGTTGAAAAACATAAAAGACCTCTATAGACGTCTTTGGCAGCCAATGAGTTAAGATATCATCTGTTGTGAATTGTAATGATATAAAAAAGACAAACAGTAACATTAAACATCCGACTTGGTTAGGTTAGGTTAGGTTAGGTTAGGGTTAGAATTAGGGTTAGGGTCAAGGTTAGGGTTAGGGTTAGGGTTAGGACATCGTTTATCTTCTGATTTCGTATAGACAGTAAACTTTCGTTTCCACCTGAGAAAGCAGCTAGTCACATGACCTAATCAAAATGGCCGACTTGGATATGTGAGGAGTTGAGTACCCAACCAAAGGCTGATTTTCTCCCCCCCCCCCCAGCTGAAGCCGGGGCTGATGCGGGTGGACGCCGGCCTCTTCGGGAGGAAGATGAAGGGCGTGTTGTCATGGGAACGGAACAAAGACGAGCCGGAAAAGGAGGCGGCGGCCAAACCGCCGAACACCGAACCGACGCGCATCAAGATCTTCGAAGGCGGGTACGTCAGCCCCCGGGTCCGGTTTAAACCGGTTTTCCACCTTCAAATCTTCAATCAAATAATTTTTTTTAAGAATTTGAACATTTTAGGTTTTAATTTATTTTAAAAAATCGGCAATTAAAATCAAATAAACGGGATATTTCACATATTAAATTAAAAGA